ATATATATGAATGTCCTGTCGGCAACATGCGTGAAACATGCACACCCTGTAGACAAAAACACGGTAGAATTTATTCAATATGTTCTCTCGATATTTTTTTAAATTATGGCACTAAACAAACGTTTCAGATTAATATTAATGGTCTACCTAAGATTTTCAAATAATATTCTGTTTAATAATAAAATGCATTTTTCACTGTAAAAAAATTACTTGATCCGCCTCTCACTGCACATAAAATGCGTCAAACTTTACCATGATGACGTCATGTCGACAAGTGCATTGCGATCAGTGACTTGTATATATTTTGCTGTGTGGGATTTAACTGGCGACAAAAATGAATGCAGTGGTAAGTGTTGATGTAGTTCATAACTCTTATGCAGTTTAGATTCGCAAATTATTTCATTTTTTGTTATTGTGAGGAATTGCTATATTTGTGTGATGTCACAGTAAACTTTTCCAGTATAAATTAGGCCCCGCCCCCTTTATGCAGCCTTAACAGAGCTGCGTTCTATTCATGTTTTTGAATAAATTTTGCTTCTCAGTATATTCGATACACGAGAGCATGTTCTACGTATGTACAATTTCTAAAAGGAGGCAAACAATTGACCAACAAGTTAACAAAACAAGGATATCAACAGACTCGTTTGAAGTCATCTTTTCGCAAGTTCTATGGTCGATACAATGACCTTGCCAGCAAATACAATTAATCATTGAGTCAAATGCTGACTGACGTTTTTCATACTAAATGTTAGGCCTTTATTTACACACTGAATTGTCGACAGATGTTTCCGTTATTTCCCTATCATAACAAGGAGCTCACGGCGGGTGTGACCGGTCGGCAGGGGATGCTCACTCCTCCATGGCACCTGATCCCATCTCTAAATTTGAGATCCTTGTTTGCGCTGCTCCAAATTTGTATCGTTTCATTGGACTTTAGAGATTGAATACTGTTTGTTATCTTCATATTTCACTACAATAGTTTGTTTTTTCTAGCATTGAAATACTTAGTTTGGACACATTTTAAACAAACTGGTTAAAATAAATTTTTTAACATTATTATTATGTCATAATTTACTTTTGATATAAAATGTATGACAAAATCATGCTTGTAATCATCCTTACAGTGTGTTATGCCTTTGAAGAATTTTTTTCCGAAATGAAATATATTGTTATTTTTCATTTGTTTTAATTAAACAGACTTTTGCTTCATAAATGATATATGTTACTTCGATGGAGAAAAACGATGGGATAGTGATTGTGAGATTTGCAATGTAAATGAGAATATATTCCGGTGGACATTAGATGACGGTAATTATAAATTTCTTAAATTGCTTTCTGTCTTCAGAAATTCGAATGCAGTCACAATTAATATGTGTTATTTGTTTTAATGGGGCATTTACACGCTTGCACTTCCGTTTTTTCCAATTCTACGGATATATACGAAACGTTGTTTTAAGCTTCATTTTCTTTTTCTTTGAATAATTGAAAAAAAAATCTGATTAACCTATATGCGACTTTGACAATGCATAATGATGCTGCACCATTCTTCTAAGACAAATTTTGCGAAAATAATAACAAAACAATATATTTGGTAATTTTTGTTTGATTATTTTATTTAATTTTATTTTAGAATAACACATCATCATTTGATATCCATTTTAAATCCCTGGTTATATTTATTCCAATTTATATCAAAAGAACTTCTTGTGGTACTAGTTTTTTTTTTTTTTTTTTTTTTTTTTTTTTTTTTTTTTTTTTTTTTATTTAAGAATGTCCTGAGAAATTATCAATGTGAAATTTGTTGTAAGGTATATTGCGTAAATTTCTAATTAAAAAAAATAACTATTTGAATGGTTCGAAATTACATGATAAATTCATGATGAATTCATAAAATGCAGTTTCCATGACATTCAATGGCATTCTGGAAACCTTTCATCAACCACTTTATTTACACACACGAGCTTTTTATTGCTCATGTTTATGTTCTAACGATTTTGTTAGCAACTTTAACACTGCTGAAAACAAGCTGAGAACACTGAAACTGTCCATTGCAAAGATTTTAAATATCAGAATATTACTTGGAGGAGATAGCCATTACTTATTACTAGAGGTCAATTATGTAAAACTGTTAACAGAAATTAATTTTATATTATTGATGATAAAAATTAACATTGATCTTATGTTTCTGAAAACTTTTTTCAAAAATAAAGCATTATAAAAAAAAAATAACATTATAAATGATACATACGAGGGGCGATCAATAAGTTCGCGAACTTATTGAATTACTTCCATAAAAGAAATGAAATTAGGTTTCAGTGTTCATTATTTTTTAAAGTATCCCTTCCGATTTAAATGCACATCTACCACTGTTCTGTCCATGCGCGAATCACGTGATACAGGCGGTCACGTGACATGCTCCGAAGCGGTCCGTTCACAGAAGGTAAAAGATTTTTCGGAGTCTTATATTTCTTACCATGCAAGTTATTTTTTATAACAAGAACAGTCAGTTTGTAAAAAATGTACAAATCCCGGCAAAAGGATGGGTAGATAAGGATATCCTTTCCCAGAATGAGCATAGTGACCATCACAACCCGAGTCTTCTGTCTTGGGAGCTTCGTTTATCCAATGTGGAAAAGTACGGGCGCCTTCTTTTTTATCATATCTTATTTGTTTAAAGTCTAAAGTAAACAATATTTTAGGCATTTAATAACTATATTATTGTTCAGATATTCAACTATTTTTCTAACTGTAACTTGGCGGTCGTTCATAACAAATTGTTCAACTAAGGACATATATCTTCCCCAGCTTGCTTTCACTGGGCAACAAAACAAACATCATTTTTAACCATCTCCCTTCTTTCACTAAAACAATCAATTCAATTAATGATGGAACTCCTGACAAGTCTTTTGTCTTCATAAACTTTGTACAAATTATTATACGCTACTGCAAAGGAATTTCCAAGATACACATTAAACTTTACAGCCGTTCGTTGCTCGAGTACGACTGAGTCAATCATTTTTTGTCACAAGTAACCTACCTGTTGACGTCATTTTCACATTGTGACGTCACAAAAATGGATCAAAACATTACATAGCGTCTGCTCTTTATAAAACACATGTATGACTATACGTGTGTCAAATTTCATTCTAACCTGAATTGTAGTTTTGTAAATATAGAGATAGTTCGCGAACTTTTTGATCATCCCTCGTATCTGTAGCAGGGTTGTTATGATTTGATTTTTAAAAATGGTACGTTATCATACATTTATTTGATACCATTTCTGGTAACTAAAAGGCGTTCTTACTAAATGGAAAAATGTCATTAAATTCGAATTTATACACGTGAGCTGTTCAATGTTTAATTACTTCTTTGAAACCTATCATGCAGTATAATTTTTTATTTATAGCATGACCATTTGGAATTTTTAATGGCGTTAGATGTCAATACTAAATTAAGGCTTTAGTTTCATTTTAAAAAAGTGGCTGTTATATTAATAATTGTCGAGCCCTTTATATTTTATAAGCATCCATTTTTGTATCTAGATTGAGGTATACTCTAAAAGTAGAATACATTGCGATGGTTTTAATTTCACTATGTTCGCAATCTAAGAATTTTCATTAAGCCATCGTGAATATTGTTCAATAATCAATGTAGTATTTATATATAAAATACAAGTACGTACTATACACCTTTTAAAAACTGTATTCATTTTCTATATTAGTAAAATTGCTAACCATTAATAATCATTTAGAAACGCCAGGTTGATAACAAGGGTTGTTTAATGTAAGTTTCATTGAATATTTTTAATAACTAATATCTATTAATGGGATACTAAGAAATTTAGTGTCCGCGAAATTTAAACCACCCTGAAATGTAACAACATAGAAAATCTTGAAATTTTGAGTGGAATTAAACACGTTTACAGTTTATAAACTTTATATGTTTTGAAGCAACTAAATAAAAAAAAATGAAGTGAGATATCTTATAATACTGGATTAAGTTTCATACAAAGTGCACAATACGGATGTACAAATCTTATGATTTGCTAACCATAATTGTAACCATATATCTAACGTGAAAATTCACTTAACGATAATAAATGTCTCTTTTAAAAAAATGTATTTGTTCAGATGATATTGCATAGAAATTTAATGATTTTAGTACATAGACTTTAAAACGATTGTTAATGCTGTATGTATTTGTATTCATGAGAAAATAATTGTTTACAATTGACGGATTACTTACTTCGTTCTCTTAAGTCTATGTTATGTTAAAAAGAGGACGTTTCTTTATAGAAGAAAATCTTTTTACATATGTTGCATTATTTGTACAATGACGAAGTTATGGTACATCTCTGATACATGTGTTAAAAGGGGAAATTCATGCGCATTTTGTAATTTCACTGAAATCTTAATAATATGATCCTTCGAAAAGGTATTATGATGCAAAGTTCTTTTTTTTTCTTTTTCAAGATTTATTTTTCATTAAAGAAACCTTTAAAGCATGTTATACTGACATACAAAAGAAACGCAAGATCCAATTTAATGGGGAAATATTATACATTTGGGTACATCTGGGGATAGAACTCGAGGATTTCATCTACTCCATGTACATCTGCGAAACAGACACTTCAAGAAGACTATCAAATTATTTCTTTTGCTGAAATCAAGAAACCGATGAACTCAACGCGTTGTAAAGTCCGAGCTGTAGCTAAGTACATGGCAGACAAACTCGATACTGAACTTGAGTAGGGCGGGTATGAATGATTACCGATTACTTTCTTAAGTTGTCTGGTGTTTTAGTTGTTTTTATCAATTATCTTCTATTGTAAATTTCCTTTTTATCGTGAATATCATTAGATAAAAGTAGTTAGATACTTGTAGTTAATTGCTTTTTGTGTTTCTTTTGCGTGTCAGCATAGTTCAAATTGGAAAGAATGTTGAAAAATTCTTTGACAAGTTTATTCTGTTTATGATTGTCCTTCAGAAAATATATCGTAGATGAATTTTCTTTGTAATAAAACTAGGATAAAATGTGACTTATCAGGTTGTATCACATCAACAACAAAATTAACAACAACAGCAGCATCAGAACCAGATACAGAAGAAACTACGGTTGAATCTACAAAACCAACAAAAGAGAAACCACAAACATTAAGAACTTCAAAGGAACCAGCATTCACAACAACAACCCCAAAGCAATCAACATCGGCAATGTCGACAGAAACATCAACTGCAAAATCAATGGCAACAACGACAATAGAAATACCAGCAACAGAGACGACGACAGGAATTTCAACTAAAACATCAAAGACGATTACAAAACCAATAACAACAATGACGACAGAAGCAAAAACAACAGATTCAGCAACATCATCTACAGGACCACCATCACACATAACAACAATAGAGCATACTAGAACACATTCCATGACAGAACCATCAACGACGAAAAGGACAGAACAAACAACGATAACAACGACAACAAAAGAACAAGCAACGAAAACAACTGAACCAACGAAGTCTTCCGGATTAAGCAATGGTTTTATTCTACTTGTTTCCATCTTGGTGCCCAGTTCTGTTGTCATTCTGATGGCCATAATAATTGGTTGCGCCATATATTACTGTCAAAGGTGAGTTTACTCGTTTTCCAGAAAGGTAAATATTGTCTGTGATAAATCTGAATACTCGCTTTTAGAATAGGACTATAGTTAAAGATAAATTAATGTTTCATGTCTGTCAATTCCAGTAGAGGGGGAGGAGCAACGGAAGATCGTGGCGATTTAACAAGAGAATATAAACAGGATTTTGCAGGACCGATAGGGATGCGGCAATTTAGAAAAGTGATTGGAAAACAGGATTTGAAAAGCAATTATTAATAATTTTAAAGGAATAAGGATTTCGTCCTAGAGCAGAATAGAAATGATCACCAGTTCAGAAGAATTACGAATATTCATTGCATGGCTGCTACAAACATATTATTATATGCATATATACTCCCTTGAAAGACGTATCTTCTAAGCATTAAGTAAATTATCCCTAAGTTTCCTATGTATCTCTATATAATGTTTATTTACCGTACCTAAATATTTGGCTCATATATCAATCATTTTATAATTTTAAAAGAGCAATTTTTTTTTCTTTTAACAACATGGAATTAAAATCACTTCATTTTATTTTGATGTATAATTTTCACTCGCGTAGCAGAATACGTCTTTTTTTATATATTGCCTGACAATTTTCTCGATCTTTAAGGTTTCTGGATTCGTAAATACGAGAATTGATCTAGAAGTAATGTCACATGTGCTATAAAATATCCAACACTATGAACTCAACAACATTTTACATACCGATGTCTCTATTATTTTGCTAGTTGCCAAAAAATCATTTATATTATAATAACACTATTCAAGACATAATGACTAACACAAAGACAGGTTACATCTATCGCCACGTCATAAGCACGTTACTTACCTTTTTATGTACCAAATTTTCTGAAACCATTTTCAGTTGAATCACAAATTAAACGAATGTAAAATCTGACAAATATTTTAATGCTTTTTGAAAATCTTCCCTGCTAACTTGCAACAAAGCATCTTGCGTTGAGCTGATTTATTAAAAGTATTTTAAAGGGGCCTGGACACAGTTGCGTTCTTTACAATTTTAAATGTCTATTTTTATCCATAAATTACTTCAGTTTAATGATTTGAACTTACATGAATATTTTTCGAATTCAATGACAATGACATTCTTCATAACATCACGTCAGACACCTGTGTTTGTAAACAGGCCATGAGCTCTGTCATTGTTAGTGTTTACGTTTTACCGTGTGTGTTCAATTTGCTTAGTCTGCACACATCACTGAGCACGGCCTGACAATATTGGTGAATTGGCTTTGCTTTCTCGCATTTCTTCTCTTAACTTTCTGGATTATAGTTTTCATATTTTTCATAAATACACAACTAAATTTCTACTTTTCTTAAGTATTATGGATAAAGTCTACTTTGTGAAAGTACAAGGATATGTGTCAATCAAACGCGTCCCGAAATTGGTAGTTTTAATGATTTCCAGAAAAAAAGTTTCTAATCATGCTTTCAATATATTTCGGTGTGAATTGCTCTAGCAATGGTATTATTCAGAGAATTTTTGAAAATATGAGCTTCAAATCTGTGTCCAGGTCCCTTTAACTATTCCAAAGTTCACATTCTTTGTATTTTGATCCTCCCTTATTTAAGATTGGCTGATCGTCCATGGCCTATCATGATATCATCTGCCTTGCATCTGTCTATCTTTTGAGTTTGATTTTTAAAGGTTTTTCTTTGTAAGGTTTATAACTACATAAGATTGATTATAAGCTTTAATTGTAGTAAATGTAAACTATTATAATATCAGACGTTAAATAAACTGTTATTTATCCTAACTTTCGGACTTTCTGTTTATTTAATTCCCAAACCCTTGAGTTATATTCCCAAAATGAATGTAATCCGTCGAATCATGCACATGTCATCTGGGATTGGTTACAGCAATAGACATTGTCTTTCACAGGCCTTTTATTCATCGAAGGGGATAAGACATGATGTTTTAGTGATGAGAGGATTGTGAGAGAATTATGGAAAGAAAATTAATGGGTTACTGGGCTATCAAAATAACTTGTTGCATTAATATAAACATTATTATTATACCTCATTATAATAATTCTATACAACGCATTATCTGATTGATTCTAGATTATCACGTGACAGGGCCGTACAACTTCATGTTTCCCTGTCGTCGTCATGCTTTTCATCATGCATATTCAACCTCCTCAGAGACCCGGTGCATCTTCCCGCAATAGTTATCTTTCCGTTGAACGAAAACTCCCGAAAGCAGCAGATGTCACAAGTGCTGAATGTTTCATCTCTAAAGTATTGACAAAAATTGTCGGTCTTCTTTTTAATAGGGATGCTTAAAAATTGGAATGAGAAGTGTCCAGGGACTACAGTAAATTGTTTAGTAATTTTACTTTAAAACTGAAAGTGAATTTTAGAGCTGTGCCGAATCTGAAAGTTTATTTTTTATTTGTGTTTATTTTAAAAGGCTGTGTTTGCTTCTGTATAATAAACAATTTATTGCAAGAAAGTTCGGAAAACATGAAGAATTATTCAGCCAAGAAAAATCATTTCCCTCGGGCGAAGAAGAAAAATCATATTCCTCTCGAGCGATGCCATTCTTCTCTGAATAATTCTTCATATTTCCCTCACGATCATGCAATAAATGTATATTACAATACATACACCCAGTTGTATGATCCGATCTTTTTGATCTCAGAAAATTATGATTGACCATCATCATCTATTTGCTGTGTAAAAGTTTCTCTTTGTAAGAAATTTACACACTCAAGTCCGCACCTGTTCCAGAGAAAAAGTGGAAAGGTTTAAAAAAAAAATATTATTGTGGTTCCAGAAGCTGATAACGCACATGCGCACTTAATAGTTTCTCTTCAATCGTAAACATATTTCACGAGTGAGGAGTTGTGGAAAGCTGGTTATTTTAACGGAAGCGGGACAAGAGATGGAGAACAGAGGACAAATAGTCTACTGTTAAAATAAACCATTTTTCTACATGGAATGAGGGAAATAGATGGTTAAACACACATGCTTTACCTCTTTATATCTTTATGCTAAATATTCAAGAGTTTTTGTTTGTAAGCAACATGAGCAAATAATTATATTTCTTTAATAATAACTTATAGGCGCAAGACAAAGGATAAGTAGAAAGAATATTTTTCGTTATTTTCCCTATCACTTGCATATGGTGTTTACGTCTTGCAACTTATTCGATACTCAAGAACATGCTCTGAATACGAGCAATTTTTTAACCGAGGCAGGCTACTGACAGATAAGTTGATATTACTGAGATATCAACAACCTCGTTCAAATTCAGCATTTTGTACATTCTTTGATCATTATAATGACCTTGTTAACAAATACAACCTATCACTGTGTCTTATTTTGGCTGATGTATTTCATACCAATTGTTAGGCTTCTCTTTTTATACTAAATTTGAATAGGTTCTTTATTGTATTTTCTGAATAAATAACGAGGAAAAAAACGAAAGAACCACGCACGCTAACTCTTGATTCCCGCCTGCGCTTTACACCCATTTAATTCAATACAAATGGCAGTTTGGCCATTAAACTTGATTGAATGCAAAGAAGAGTTCATTATTAATTGATTAAAAATTTTAAAACCAGTGTAAAAACTTAATTGCTCTTATTTACGACTCTTCTGAAAAGGGGGGTTGAAAATGTAATCCATTGAAATCAGGCTTTAAAAATTGGCAAGATTTTTAAAAATGCACAGAAATGTATAAATTTATGTCCTTTAAAACTTTCAGTATGTTTAACTTATGTAAAATCCAACATAAAAGATTCATAAAAGACATTATCTTATTTGTAATCTCATTTGACATTGGTTATAAAATGACCATATTTTGCCTTTTTTTGTCTGTAAACATATGTTCCCCCCTGAAACAACAAAAGCTTTGTTATGAATTTGTGAAATAACAGTTCATAAAACCCATAAAAAGGAATTTTTGTTTCATCGTCCAATGGTAATAACATATTCGTCAGCCAATAGGTGTTACAGGCTCCTGAGCCAATCATCAATTATAACATATCGCCGAAATATGGCTGAAATATTAACGACCCAATCTCCATGACAATATATTAGAAATATTTTTGGAATATGACTTACTCCAAAAAATCTTGATTTAATACTTTAAGTACGGAACAGTATAATTCTTTTAAAGTTGAATAAGAAACTTCCACCACCGCGGCCTCTCCCCCGGATTCTAGAATCTCCATGTCTCTCCCTAGATCCGCTGGTGCTGCGTGACACTGGTATGTCCAGGATTGATTGGATTTCACGTTTTATGTTGCTGGCAAGAACGGAAGTACCTTTTTGTTCAGATGCACTCCATCAGGTTAAAGAAGGAATTTATCAGGGTTGCCGTGCATTAGCATGTTGCTTTGATCTACTGGACTGAAGCACTGTCATGGAACTTATGCTTAATCAGGGCGTTGATCAATTGGGAGTTGGTGAAGTGAGATTTGTCATCTAGCCTGGGTGTGGTCAGGGTAATAATCACAGCAGCTGTAGCCCATTTTGAATTGATATGAGTTGAAACAATGTTGAACAGTTTCTCTATACAGGATTGAAGATCCATTTTCTTTAGATAATTTGTGAGTGAGTGCAGAATGACAACATTATGTATCTCTTTATGGTCTTCGATATACTACAATGTCTCGTCTGGGGTGTAATACATAACTTTCGTGATTTGGGAAGCATTCGTGAGGAAAGCTACATTGATTCCACGAATATTGGATGTTCCAATCAGAAGAAGTTTTGGCTTGTTGACGGAATTCTGTGATCTCTGAAAGTCGCCTTTCTTATTTTCGGAGATGAAGTTGTCAAGATATTGAGACAGTTGTGTTTCAAGATTGAGATTTTCGTCTTGAACAATTTCATTTTTTCTGACAGTTTAGAGATGATGGATGAGAGTTGTTGATTTTCTTCATTCTTTTCAAGTCTTTTTGACGTGAAGTCAACTTCAGTGGAGGTGGAGGAGGAGACCATTTTCTCAAGTTGTACTCTTAGTTCAGAGGTCATCTGTTGCTCATGTTTAAGCGCATTTTCATATTGTGATTTCAGTATGACTGTGTTCCCTTTTACTAATTTTAGTTCATCCTGTAAACGCTTCTCTGTAATTCGTATGGTATCTATTTCCAATAATTTCCTTGTAGATTCGTTTACGTTGAGCTTGTACAGTGTATCCATTTGCTTCATGTTCTTTGTACTGCAACTTTCAACTATTTCAATTATTGTTTGTGTAATGGATTGACTGCAGTTGTCAAATTTTGTTAAGCAGTTCTCAAGACCTTCCTCAATTGATAGCCTTTGCATTCTCAGAAGTTGTATCAGGTGTGGGATGTTGTGTATCATCAGAAACTTGTTTGACACAGGATTCGTCTTGAAAATGTCCATCTGAATCTGAATCTTTATTGAATTCAACAGTCTTGGTTACCAGTGTTTTCAGTGAGTGAAAATCTCTTTCTACAAATTTGTCTCTACAATTACCCTGGCCAGTCGACAAAAAGAATGTTATTTCATAAAGTAGCGAGGCTGCACAATCAGAAGCACTTGAATGTGAAATTTCATTAACGATCGATTTGTTATCATTGGCGCTTGTGCACAAATCTTCGGGTTCGTAAACCTATGAAACTAAGTGCTCACTCGGAAGTGATAAAAGATCATTAAAACTCTTATCCGTGGACAAGTTCTCTCTCATGTTACACGAAATGCAATCATACAAGCATGCTGATGGTACAAATTAATTATTAATTTCTTTAAAAAGCGGGAACTTTTGTTCCGGAAGGGAGTTTCAATTTTTCGGGAATATATTGAAATATTTACCGTGCACGTGCGTGAGTGAGTAATCAGTTGAATCAGCCATCGACCAGCTATATTGACAAAATAATTTGTTTCAAAAGGCAGTATAATCACAGAAAACTGCAATTATTTGTGATTTTTCACATTTTGTTATTATAACCACATATCGATCTACACTCAAGTCCATAATTGTACAATAGTATATATCACCTTTAAATAACTACAGAAAAAAAAAATATTATAATTGTTTCATTTTATCGTCTGTTCATTAAAATTTTATCAATATCAGGCCATCAATCTTTCAAGGATATTGATCGTATCAACTGGATTTTCTCTTTGAACTGAGGTTAATTTGGGGCTTAAAACACTTAGTTATTTGTCAAAAAGTGAAATGTGGCTTAGTGGAGCTAATCTGAGCTTTTTAGTGAATGGGTTGCATTGTTCTCTTGTGTGATATCTCTCTATTTATTGCATGATTTTACTGCCATGCACTGCAAAACACAAATTTTCTTTTCCATGCTTTATTTTTCTCCTTATTGATAATTAAAAATATTCAGAAAAAAACTCTACACACAATCTCTATCCATAATAACTAGATCCCAGAAGTCCAGCGGTTACCACTATGAAAGCAGGAATACCTAATGCCGCAGTCAGCGCCAGACGTGGCAAGCCTCGTTCTCGTATTGTGGTTGTCATCGCAGAGGTAGTTGCCATTGTGGTGGTGGTGATCCGCTCTAAAATGAAGTCATTTCTTATTAAACTTTTTATATTTTTTACCTTCATTTTTATTTAGAAAGATAATTCGCAGAATTGTGGATCCCCGATTTAAGGATCTTATTGGTTGAGGTACATTGATTTACGGCATACATGTATTGTAAAATCAGACAAAAAATAGTTTCATAATTTTAATGAAATATGTTCCGGTGCTAGAGTTATGGCCGAGCTTTAAATTTTATAAAGTCAAATTTCGAGGACAAAATTATGAAGTCAAACATCATAGTGCACTCGGAAAGATCTTATCACAGGTAATGCAGATGTGGAAATATGTTAGTCGAGTCTCTTCTGGTGAAAAAAGTTGCGACAAAAGCTAAAACGTTTGTATATCACTCTGTAGAAATTCGATAGAAAGATTTAGTAGGAGTGTCATTGAGGATAAAAAAAATCCAGAGATCCAAAACAAAGGGTTCACGGCAGTAGAGACATCATGACAGAGGATGCTTGCTCCTCCCAGGCACCTGATCCTATTTCTGATGTTTTCAAGGGTCCGTATGTTTGCTTAATTATTTATAGGAATTATGAAATTGATCCGTGTTTGTTATTTTTACTTTTTTCATCCGGACGAAACTACAAGGAACTCTAAGAATTCTTTTTTAGATATTTTTTATGAATAAAAAGCTACTGTAAAATGAGTTTAATTGCTCGTAAAGGTTTTGTTATTTTTGTTTGACCGAAGTTTTAAATGGCCTTCAATTAGACATCAAGATATATCGACGACATTTTAGCAATTATCATTCATACGTTGATTCGATATACCCACTGAACTCGAGATAAAAGACACCACAGAAGCTTACACATCTGTTGGGTGTTTTACTAGAGATATTGCGAAACCTGTGATATATTGTGATACTTCGTTTTAAAGCAACTTTACTGGAGAAAGATTTTATACTAAAACTAGTGACAATCTGAGATTAAAATCTTCAAACGTTGTCTACGGAGTTAAATGCACTCCATGCGGACTGATTTATATTATAGAAACAAAGGGTTCGCTCACTAAGAGAATGTCGGAGCATAGGTTGACATGAGTAATGGGAAACATCAATATCTTTATAAACATTTCAATTCTCCTGACCACTGTTTTTTCATTGAGAATTAGAATTTTTTTTTTTTTTTTTTTTTTTTTTGGGGGGGGGGGGATATATCATCCAACAAATAGTCTCACCTTAAGTACTTCATTACATAGACAACGAGAAGAATACTGGATTAGGAAACTAGGCATTGTTTTTCCATACGGTTGCAACGACCTTTTAAATAATGTATGGAATCTTTAATGCCCATAATGTGCCACTGTGAATGCGTTTGGACTTTTTAACTATATACCTAGAAGTAGACGTAGTCAGTCATGGACATCAATCGTAAAATGGACTAAATATACATGATGTCTCTTTTTCATTCACTTTGCTTAGTAAATGAACAACTAGGTCTCCATTACATTCGCACTAAACTTTATTCAGTTCCCTTGAAATTTTTGAATGGACTATTTCAAGAAGCTTAAGCATGTCCATACTTCACAGAAGAATACAAGCTAGTGTTTGAAATAGATGCTGTGAGCATAAGGAACATTCTTGATTTTAAAAAAAATTAAAAAAATCGGTCTTGCATTCCGTCATATTTCAAGTTGAGGTCTACACCCTATATTTTCTACAGCTAATCCAAACTGTTGTTTCCAAACTTTTCAATTATAAACAATCCTTACAGTACCTAGATATTGAACACCTAAAACAAAATCCTCTTAATTGTTCCTGCTCTACTTCTTCTTTCAATGACCTGGAAACGTCAATGTCTGTGATGTTAATAAAGTTGAAATTGAGGACCTAAAAGCAACCATATTAAAAGATCCTAAATATAGGGAGCACCGATCTTTCAGTTGTTGATAGAACTTCATTTCTATCATGAATTCTTTCAAGGACTATGTCAGACGTTGGGCTAATAGGAAAAAGAAGACACTTCTTCAAAATGGATTTAGTGTATAAGAAATATATTAAAGATATATATTAGGAAGTTAAAAGGCAATATACGAATCATATATCCTTTCTGTTTTCACTATATTGGAGGTGATTAAAGAATTAGAAAGACTACTCGAACAATATGTAATGTTCCAGTAAACAAGGCTTGTAACAATGCTGGCTTCGTTTGAAAGGTTCATTGTTATAGCTGATCTTTATAAAAATTTGGTTTTAATCCTACGTCTGGGAATCCAACTTATACCCATAGTTCTCTTTCTAAGGATGAGATTCTTCAAAATTACATTTCATTGTTTAATACTTTCAACATTCCAGTCATCCAAGGTAAGTTCGATCTACCCTATTATCCTGGATTCCTAAACTTCATATAAAACCTTACAAACAAAGATACATTGCCGGGACCAGCAAATGCTCTACAAAGCCTCTTTACTCCGTACAAAAATATAAACTTCTGTCATGGAGAAAACTTCAGACGTACTGTGCCACAGCATCTTCTAGAAACCTTGTAAATCAGATGTGGATTCTCAAACACTCGAAAAAGTTTTTACAAAATTTAAAATTATAGTTTTTTTTCTAAAGTTAACAGCATCCAACGTACGACCTTTCTACACTTTATACAACCATTCCTCACGATAAATTAAAGGCTAGACTTTTTGTTGTCATAGACAACTGCTTCCTTAATAAAAATGGAACTTGGAAATTTTCGTATCTTGTGATTGGTAATCCACAAAATTCCTTCATTAAAAATCACTCTGATTCTACACACAAGTATTCTGAAATTAATATTAAAAGGATGCTCCAGCTCCTTATTGTCAATATTGATGTAGTCTTCCGTGACCAGGTCTTCCAAAAACTGTTTCGATGGGCACTAATGGTGCTTTTTTAGTAACCACCTGATATTCCGATGAAGCAACTTTGTTAAAAAATTCTACATGAGAAGAAAAAAGAACACTTGATGTGGCTTTAAATTTCAACTCGACATTCAGATATATCATGTAGTTTTATAATTAGACGTGTTTTTGAATGTCTAGAACACCCAAAAGCCAAGAAGAGAAAAATTGTGCATACAAGTCCTATAGAATACTGGGACAAGTTAGCACAAAAAAAATCTGATGGATTCTTTAAAGCAAGTTGATCTATATAACTGACGCAGAACAGACTGAGTGCGAGTAGCTGGGTGTCGTATACGAATTAGAGATCAAAGTCTGGACAGATCATAAGTCATTGATCTGCATTTACTTTTCAGAGTAAAACCGCCAAGCCAAGATCGATCAATGGGCTATGCAACTGCAGCCGTATGAATACAACATTCTATGTACCTGGACCCAAAAATTGCCGTTAATACTCTTTTGTTGAATATTCCATCGCAGATAATGCTGTGCCAAAAGTGCTGGCCGTTGAAAGGGTTCATCAGAAAAAAATTCTGAGGACTTTCGACTTGTAGAGGTCAAAACTAAAAAAAATTGTACCGTGGAAGCGGAACTTTTGGGCATGACAAAATAGTATTACAGGATCATGCATCATATCACCCAAATGTCTCAATAAGTAAACAATATTTCTGGCTCATGAAGGAAATCAGGGCATTGTCTGCTCAAAACAGCCATTCAGCTAAAAAGTATGGTGGCCGAGTATCGATAACAAAGTCGAGCGATTTATCAGATTATGTCATCAATATCAACTATTACGGAACAACAATAAACCCGAACCAGTTAAACAAATTGTTAATCAATTGCTATATACCTAATGGGACCTTTACCCTCTATAAGTCTTAAAATGAAATATGGAGATAACGAACAGTATTCAAGCTCAAAGTCTATTAAAACAATACATATCGGGAAATGTTTACTATGACATCAGTGGATCTCTTCACAAAAAATCGTAAGACATATTTTTATCTTAAGTGAAAACTCATGATAGAAATGGTTTTCACAAAAATTCTTAAGAGAGTTGTGAGTGCAAAATCTGTAACTTTACTAGGGCCCCAACCCTCTCTTAAGTCTTTTAAAACCGATTTCATTGTAAAAATATAGCCACAAAAACCACAAAAACTAAAATACACATTAAAAGGATCCTTTTAAAGGAACTTCCAATAGTATTGGAAGTGTCCAATAATATTGTCGAAAAATTAAACGAAATACAGGACAAAATATTTACGATGTAAGTTTCACTTAAGATTTTAGTAAGATCTACTTTGACATCAGATTTTAAACTTCCTTGCTTCACAAACGATTGCATTCGAAATTTGTTGTCAATAATGTTTTTGCTATGCTGGCATATATTAAAAACTAAGTTTTATTTTTATTTTCAACCACTTATTTAAGGATTATAAAGAATATTGAAGTCGTTGCTAGGGATAAATTCTGTCGTAAGTTCAATCTTCTACAAATGCGTTCGTGAAAAACACTTAAGATTTGTCGTAAGAGATTCTTAAGTTAAAATCTGAAGATTTTTTGTGAAAAGGACAACAGTTCCTCAAATAACCACAAAATGAAACGATTTATTTTAAACTGTTGAATAGCTTGAAACTACATCGGATTCAATACTTACTATTGCATGCACTTTTGTCGTTAGTTAAATCTCACACAGCAAATATAAACAATTCACTGATCGCAATGCACTTGTCAGTGTGACTTCATATCGTAAAATTTGATGCAGTTTATGTGCAGTGAGAGGCGGATCAAGTTATATTTTATACAATGAAAAATGTATTTTGTAATCAAATAAAATATTATTTGCAGATATATAAGAGGCCATTACCTTGGATGCGATGTCTAGTTCATTATATTATTCATATAATTTCCGTACATTCCTTAGACAAGTGATACTGCCATATATTTGTATGCAGATTCATTGAAGGATAATAGAAGGGTATTGATAAATCGATGATTTGCAAAAGCATTCCCTCAATGGATCATGACAAGCTTTTACACATAAACTCAAGAAGTATGAAGATATTTGAAAAGTGCTGCGACCCTCATGAAATCTTGCAAATGAACTAATTATATCTATATTTAATATAGTTGTCCAGCAAAATATTCAACATGCGGTCTAACAAATGTAATTTTATCAATTAGACAGTAGAATCTGTATAGGTTCGCAGCACTCTTCACAAACTACAAAGAGTAACAAATGTAATTTTATCAATTAGACAGTAGAATCTATATAGGTTCGCAGCACTCTTCACAAACTACAAAGAGTGTTGAAAATAATTAACAGAAATAATTGGCATGCCCTTGCAATATTGGAATTTATAGATGGCCTCAATACTGCAGTTTTATTTGCTAAAATCACGTGATACCACATCACGTGACCAGTCTAAAGACGAAATCTAATTGTCTTCAACATGTAGTTTTAAAACCACATTACCTTTTTCCGATTATAGTAAAAGTCCTAAAAAGAATCGCCTATTGTTGTAAAGAATGTATTTTCTATCTTAATAATTCGCCGATATTTCCATTTGTCACCTTAACGTGTGCCCCTTGTCATGATCGAGAAGTAACGGAAAATCCGTTCACAATTCTGTGTGGCCTAATAATCAGTCGGTATATGACTTAATGATAGATTGCATTTGCTGACAAGGTGATTGTATCCACCATAGAACTTTCGAAATGATGACTTTAAACGAAACTATTGATATTCTTGTTTCATAAACTTAGAGGCTATTTCTCCAGGAAGAAGCCATGCATAACAAAGAAGATTACTTGTGAGGGAAGCATTTTCCAACTTGAAAGTACTGGTTACCTTTCAGCATGCTGAGTGATAATTACCCGCAATTTGTATCGGAGTTTAGACAATACCTAGATTTAAACGGTAATGAACTTATTCGTGCGATATCAAACTGGCCAACCGTTCACGGTAGCTCAGTCGGTAGAGCGCTCGCTCCGTGATCGGGAGGTCGTGAGTTCGAATCTCGGCCGCGACAGACCTAAGTCGATAAAAAATAGGTAGCAACTGTTCCTTCGCCATGCGCTCGGCACTTTGGAGTGAAAGTTGCGGGTCTTTCGGATGAGACCTTAAAAACCGAGGCCCCGTGTCACGGCAGGCGTTGGCACGATAAAGATCTCTCACTGCTTAATGGCCCTGAGTGCCGAGTAAAGGTCAAAATTTGAAGCCCTTCACCGGTATATGGTGACGTCTCTATATGAGTGAAAAATTCTCGAATGGGACGTAAAACAATATACAATCAATCAAACTGGCCGCAGGGAAAAGGGAAGGTAAAATAGCAAAACCGAAATTTGCTAAGAAGAAGGCAAAGATTTGAGACAAGAGTTACCCAAGTTTTTATTTGCTTTTTGTGCAACACCTCATTCTACTTCTGGAAAAAGCCCGGCAGAGTTGCTCTATAAAAGGGGAGAATTCATACAGGTTATGAAAGATGAGTGAAAGGGTTGAACACAGAGAATTACTAGAGAAATATACGAGAGAAAAAGTAAACTTCAAAAGAAGAGCAAATGAGATCTTCGTCGTAGAGTCCAAAGTTGAACAACGTCAGTCCAGGTGCGACAAGCTATCAACCGTGTTTGTGCCTGAGATATTCATCATGAGGTAGAAATGCAAGAACTCAGAAACCTTCGAAGATGAAAATGCGTCATTAATAAAGAAAAGCTGCACAACTATATAGAAATTCATATCAAACAGTGAACGTATAACGATTCATGTGTCCCCAATATATGCGCAAAAGAATCCGTTGACGTATCTGATAATGACCATTCAGTAGTAAACTGAAAGACAATCCTGGGAACTCAAGCCTAAAAGACAGCCTGATCACAAAAAAAAGTTTTACATGAAGTATAAAGATAACGAACAGTAATCAAGCTAAAAAAATCCATTGAAACAATACATATTCAGAGCAGAGTAAACATGGGCCTCTTATAACATTAGAAGGGTGGTCAGGTACCATGGAGGAATAAGCATCCCCTGTTGACCGGTCACAGACGATGTGTGCTTCTTGTCGGGATTGGGCAAACGGAAAACATCTTATTAGATAATTTACAATTTTGCAATTTCGTTATAAAGACGAATTTGTCAGCATACATCTTCAATTTTAATCAAGAGGCTGTCATTTCTTTCGCTTAAAATTCTCAAGGTTTTATTTTTGTCTTGGGTGAAGAGGGATGTATTGATTTGACCTAATATAGTTCATACAGATTTAATGTTTTCCTACCTCTAGGAATGTGCACCTTCAGCATAAAGCCATATGTTAAATATTAAATCAGTAATTGATTTTTACAACCTCAACCACGAGGTTTGTAATATTGCTTTTTATGAGTTTTAGAGTAATAGTTCTGAACCAAACCTACGTGTTTTCTCTTGATTGAAAAAGTAAGATATTGAACGGTAATCTATCTCAAAAATCCATTGAAACAATACAAATTTGGAGTGGGGGCAAACACGGACCTCTTACAAAATCAGAGGTGGGATCAGGTGTCATGTCTATCATGTCATGTAACCAACCCCTGCCGACCGCTCACACCCGCCATATGCTCCTTGTCATGATCAGGCCAAAAGATAATCCTTAGACAATTCTGTGTGGAAATACTGTAAAATGAGAAAATATTGCGCGCTACTAATTTTAGCGCCTTTGGCGCAAGTGCCTCTGAACGCTAAAATTTATTGTGCTCTTACGGATTTCTAAATATTAAACTTTTAAGCAATCACTTAAGTACATGTAAACCAGAACGCGCGGCTACGTATTGTCGTATGGTTGCTGTATTTTTGTATACATACTCGCACTGGTAAACTGTAGGAAATTTTTTACAATTAATTGTGTGGTATGTTCTCCTTAGCTAGATTAATTAATCCCAGCTTTTGCGTGACCCATTGTATAAACGTTTTTATATGTTTATGTACCTCATCTACCATTTACATGGTTTGAGAGACTAAATTGTATTGAATGAATCGAGAAAGATCTGCCGAATCATTAATTTAGTTGTTACCAGGTACTTATCATTAGCACCTTCAAAGTTGGGCCTCTCGCCGTGTCAATCATCTACTAAGTATTGCCTCGAGGTGAACCATGCGATCAAGCATGGCGATCTACCTTACATGTAATATATGATTATGTTTACCAGTTATCCAAGTAACTTTCTTTTAATGCATGCAAGGTTTTAAAATGAATAAAATGAAAGAACACCCCACAATCATTTAGGAAGTCCTCCATGTGCTTGCAACACCACGGAAAAGTTTACCGATGTACGTGAGTTAGAAATCAATGCTATTGTGTTTGCGTGCTTGAGTGACCACAAAATCAAATAGTCGACAGGAAGTGCTAATTGTAGTATCTTCATGGCACCCAAACCCGATCTTACCTCTGAGGTTTTCAAGGTTCGACTTTGATCTGGTTTCAATTTGTATTTTTCAATTGGACTCAAAAATATCGTTTCTGTTTGCTATCCTCACCTTCCATAGCCCTTGTTGGATTAAATCAAATTTTGCCTTTAAAAAATTACAAGGTATCATATACCATCACATTGTTCTCCTGTACAAAGTATCATATACCATCACATTGTTCTCCTGTACAAAGTATCATATACCATCACATTGTTCTCCTGTACAAAGTATCATATACCATCACATTGTTCTCCTGTAAAACCTTCTTTACAGACACATTCAGGGAAGAAATTCTTGACTTCACAAAGTTGGTTCCTGTTACATTCGGAGTTGTCGCCCGTAATATCACAAGTCGCTGAAAACAAAAAGTTAAATTCATTTTATCAGGAAGAAAAGTTGACATATAAGAGGGTTGTCCCAGAAAAGCGTACACTTTTTAAGCATTTCAAAATCTTTCTGAACGAAATCATTCCTTTTTTTACGTTGTTGAAAAATTATGTTTTATTCAATATTTCAATATAATATTATTAGATTGTTTTGTCATATGAATATGGAAACGGTATTTAATGATTTTTTTCACTTAAAAAAAAATCATTGTTTATGATGCTATGTTAGATGCTAGATCAATAGGAAAGACAATGAAAGGAAATTTATATCTATAAAATTCAGATTATCTGGCAATCAAATGTTTAAAAACTCATGAACCTGACAGCATAAATAGCATTTATATGACTTTCTATGCAAACACTTTCAGTTAAATATTGTCACAATGGTAACTTCGGTCCTTAATGCGGCGCACCAAATTATCTTTCAGTGCATTGTTAGCGGGTTCCGACTCCTGTCTAGCAGATGTGAAGGATAGAACGACACAAATGTGTGTGTTGAACACTGATTTATACTTTTCATATGGTTTAAAGGTTTAGCTGGAGTGTTATCCGATGGAGGAAGTGCTTGGTACAACAACAAAAAATGACAACAAACTGAAAAGCCAGGAGCCTGACGTATGACAGCCGCTTAATGTGCTAGAAATTGGGATCCTAATCAAGATTGGGAATTGATTTACAAATGCCACAAACTACGTTTTGAAATTGTAGGTTTTTGCGCCGATCGCTATTATGCAAAATTCGCTTATGGATGACGTTAACATTTACTCAGATGGCAAAAGAATAAATTGATATGAATGGAAAAAGACTTACATAAATTGTAAACCTATGATTGTGGTGTTATTATTCACTTACAAATAATAAGGTCAATAACCTATTTTTCACACTTGTGGCTCCTGAGAATTTGTCAGAAAATACCTCAATTTTATTCACTATTGCTATTTTTTTATTACAGCTAAATATACATAACAAAACTCTTTGGATAATAAAATATGATGAAAATGGAATATTATTGCCTCCGTTTTTTGTAAATCATTCAAAAGCATATTAAAACAGCCCTCTAAAAGAGCAGTATAGTAAGGAACTAATTCTTACCACAACAGTCGTCTAACAGTGTAGGGGGAACTAATTCTTACCAAAGCAGCCGTCTATAGTAGCAATGTAGGGAGAGAAAAAATTGTAAAATCCCTTGTCACATTCGCACATATTTTCTACACAAAGTGCGTTCTCTCCGCAATCTTCAACCTGACACACGGGTCCTCCGAACAAAGTCTGTTGGATAAAGCCTAGAAAGCAGGCAAGAACGAGTGACACCTTCATTCCTCTCGACATACTGTTAGATTTGCAAGGATATGCTGTGTAGTTATTATATATATACGCTCTAGAGGCGGAGTAACACATGAGTTCCATTGAAATACCTGGTAATGTAAATTTACGGAAACACATGATTGATAATTTTGAAGTTCTTACAAACTTTTCTTCTGTACCTTATATCATTTCTTATCCTCTAATGAGATGGAAAATTTAATTTCTACGTAAATCAAGAATTTGGCAGAAATGCAGCTCAATTAAAAACAAGCTAATTCAGAGAATTTGTGTCCCCCGCTTAGGGAAAAAAATAAGAGCATGCGCAGTTCAGAGGGGGGGGGGGGGTCGGACCCCCCTCCCTTGGATTTGTAGAATTATTAGATGTATACAGTCATGTATATTGAAGGAAATAAAAAATGCCAATATGGATATAAAGATTTGATTGCTTATTCTTTAATTCGTGTAGAGAAGATTCTTTTTATATAGATATTTATCCCAGTGTAATAATAATTTTATGAGTTTGTACACGCCAGACGTCATAACTTTTTTCATTTCACATGTTGAATACTATCATTTAGTAAATCCAAAAAAAAATTTAAAAAAAAAAAGACCGTCCGGGATTTGAACCCCCTGTACCTCTCACTTGCTAAGCAAGAATCATACCCCTAGACCACGGAGGCACTTGATTTTACAGCAAATTATATTCAAAGATTAGGTCACATATAATGTTTATATTCATGTTCAATATTGTCAAAATACACAATACATGGTGTCCATAATTTAGCTTTTACTAAAAAGTTCTAATAGATGTAACTGGAATATAAAGTCCGCCGATAACCTGTATTATACGTAATAGCTCTCCACATGCCCCTGTGCTAAAAATAGTGCCAAGCGATTTTTAATACAATAAATAAAAAAACGGGGCGGGACACTTTGAGAGGGGCGAGAAAGGCCATAAGGAGTTATTGTATAAATGTTCACTGGAAAAGCTCAAAAGCTTCTTGAGATATCGCCCGGAAACGAAAGTGTTACACACAGACGGAATGCATGAATTTACGACCTTGAACTTTGACCTCAAAATCAATAGGGGTCTTCCTTAGGCCACAGGGAGTTGTTATGTAAAATTTCATTGCAAAAGCTCAAAGGATTCTCGAGATATCGCGCTGAACGAAAGTGTTAAAACAGACAGAATTTATGAATTTATGACCTTGACCTTTGATCTTTTGACCTCAAAATCTTAAGGGTTCTTCTTTCGGCCATAGGGAGTTGCTATGCAAAATTTCATTGCGAAAGCTTACAGGGTTATCGCTAGGAAACGAAAGTGTTACAGACAGACAGAAATAGACGGACGGAATGATGGACGGACAGACAGACAGACCCAAATTAATATCCCCCACTTTCAGTGAAAGCGGGGGACAAAAATATAGATACACTTGCCTACTATGAGAATGAAATGTGAAGATAACGAACATTAATTGATCATTCTCAAAAGTCCATATTTGAGCAGAACCAACACGGACCTCTGAAAACAGAGGTGGAGTAAGCGGACCAGTAATACACGCTCCGCTCTCATTGTCATGATCGGGTAAACTGGAAATTCCGTAGTCAATTCAGAGTGAAGATAATGACCACACAATCTGTATGAAATGAAAGACATCAGTCAGCATTCGACGCAACTCCAGGTTGTATATGCAAACTTATCATTGTACCGACCATAGATTTTGCGAAACGTTTACTTTAAACCAGATGTTTGATATCCTTGTATTATCAACTTATTTGTCAACAGCCTGTCTCTTTTTAGACATTTGCCGTACGTTTAACATGCTCTTGCGTATCGAATGAACTAGGAAACAAACCCCATATACAGGTGATTAGAAGTACAGTCCCTGAAACGTTCTACTTTCCCATTTTTCCGTTCGCTCACCGTTCGTTCCCCGTTCGTTCACCGTTCGTTCACCGTGCTCCACCGTTCGCTCTCCGTTCACAGTTTTGCGTTCAGCGTTCACCGTGCGCTCGCGTTCACCGTTCACTTTGCGTTCACCGTTCACTTATCGTTCAGTCTTTATTGTCATTCGGAACTTCGAAGTGAAAGGACTTATCTTTTTTTAAGTAAGGATTTACAGGTTTTTAATTTGATAATTAACATATCGTGTTTAAAGAATCATGATTTCATGGGAAAATTATGTACAATATTTATTTTTATTATTCTAACTTAGCTATTGGGTTATTTATTAAATTTATCTGGAAAATAAATGTTGTTATAAGTACATGTATGTACCTATGTAGAACGATGCTGAAAAATTAAATTTAAATACTGGTAATCTGCAGAAACTTCAAGCACAGCAACATTTTGTTGTTATCTTAAAGACGACAAATCGTTAAATTGGGTAGATAATAATCGAAGTCAATTAATTTACAAACTGCAGCAAAAATACGAAAATATTTATTTCTATCACATTTTTTTTAATAATACAGAAATACATGTTAGACCTAGTTCTTAGAATTATAAACACTACTACGGATATCCAGTTAATTAGTGTGGTTTTAAAAATATTTTTTAAAAATGTAATACTTTATAGATTTTTTTCTACTTAACACATATGAAGTCTTTAATTAGAGAGAGAGAAATACCTTTATAACATGATTATCATTTATATAACCATGGTAATTCTCCAGTATTGATATTTTTCAACGTAAACTTTAAATTTACCATTCGATATGATTAAGACCCCCCCCCCCCACCCTCCTGTAAATCGGTTATTTAGTTATTATTTCCAGTATATTTTAATTACCATTTAAAAGAAGTTAATGTGTTTTGTAGCACAAAAAATTTCAGTCTCAAAACAAACATGAATCTAAACAAAGTCATTAAAAAATAGTAGTTCAAAATTTACATGTGCCGGCGGTGACATTTTAAGTTGGCAGGGAGTATGTTTCAAATTCAAGCGGCTTAATCATTCCAAGTGTTTATTCCAAATGTATTTTATTCATTTATTTATTTATTTATTTTTTAGAAATGTTGGAATCAGATCTAGAAATGATAAGAGAAAAGTGTTAAAACTTCTTGGAAATACTAACACTTTGCCGTCGGTGTGACGAGACTTTCACACCTGCACAGTGTCGAATGATTTTGATTGACAGGTCAAGCACGTGGACTTCGTGTGAACTTGAAGCAGGAAAATAAAAACCGATTATGACTGTAAAACAAATGGATTTGTTGATAAAAAATGGTTACTTTCACTGCCTGGTATTTTTAAAAAAAATTAAGGATTTTTGTTTGATATAGGTACAAACATTTGAGGAAGGGGGTGGTAAAACCGAATATCTCTCTCTCTTTCTCTCTCTCTCTCATTTGTCTGTTTAATAAAAACTATGACAGTATATTACTTAAATATCAAGTTGTGAAAATTTAATATATAACAAATAATATGATTGCCTCTTTGTATCATCTTGTCCGAGTATAATCACGGCCGGGAAATGTCTACAGATACATGTAGAAGTCTGCTCAATAAATCATCATTAAAAAAACTGACATATAATTATATTATTGCGTTAAAATTTTAAAATACGAGTGTATTTATGCAATCCGGCCACATGCCTTTATAAAAAAAAAAAAAAAAAAAAATTTCTCATTATTTTACACAGAATCGCCTTGGCACGGAAATATATGTATGGTTGTTACAACCGTTGTAATTCATTCTATAAGTCCATAGTTTTCTCTTCTAAAATCCACATTATTTGTAATGGGTTTTTTTTATATCAAATAAGAATAAACATATCTATTTTACAACTAGATTAATTTTATCTTTTATACTACAGCGTTCGGTAACAATTACAATGTTTTACAGCGATAAAAATCGTGTTATTAGAAAGTTGAATTTAAACATCGTACATATGTGCAGAAAATATTGTAAGAAACTTAAATGAATAATTTTACTTAATGTGCATGTATCGTCTTTCTTAGGACAATTTTCATTGATTTGTTTATTTTTTTTATTTTTTAGCACCAGGCATTCGAATACAATAGAATAGTTACAATGCAAGGAAAAGATCAGAGGTATTCCGAATAAATCGTTCATCTTGCGTTCACCGTTCGTTCACCGTTCACTTTGCGCTCGCGTTTGCGCTCCGTTCGCGTTCTGCGTTCGCTCACCCTTCAGCGTTCACACATCGTTCACAAAGTTGCATTCAGCGTTCACACATCGTACACTCACCGTTCGCTTTGCGTTCGTTCACCGTTCGTTCAGAGTTCGCTCACCGTTTAAAGTGGGAAAGTAGAACGTTTCAGGGACTGTATATACTAAGTATTACGTGAGTAAATAGCTTGAAAAAATTATAGATGATCTAGCTGGTTTGGTTCCGAGTTAAGAAGAACGGGACGTTCAATATGAAGTACAGTCCTTTTTATAAGTAACAACAGTTAAATATTCTGTACAATATTTATATTTTTCAAGGTTTTTTTACACGACTATTTCAAGAATCAGTCTTTTAGTCTTTTTTTTTTTTTTTTTTTTTGGCGATTTTTAAAAAAAAAAAAAAAAAAAAAAAAAAAAAAGGATCTGGCCCTGTAAAATCTCTTATTTATTATATGCATACAAACGTCCTCAATTTTCACGTCTTCGAAAGAATTATAATAAAGTTCTCCCGTCTTTAGCGGAAGACCATTCTATTATTGCATTGTTTATTTTTCTTGTTCTTATTTTTTTCTACATTGTACATCGATATCTCAGTAATGGTTCGGTGAGGACGTTTTTATTTTAATTTCTTGACTTCACTTCTAGTCGCGAAAATTGTCTATTTCTAACGTTTAGCTGCTATTTTTTTGACGCTATATACTCCTCCTAAATTTCTAAGCTAGAAATCGGAAATTATCAGGAATGATTAATTAATACTTTTAGATGTGCATATGACTTTTAAAATTTAAAAAAAGTATTTGAATTTTTAAAATTTTTAATGAATTTTTTTCAAAAATAAT